GTTGACATTTAATTTTCAAAATGGTGTCTGCAAAGAACTCCTAACCTGCCTGAATTAAATTCAAAGACCTGTTCTCTCTGCCCTCAATGCCACCCTTGATGGTGTTATTAGCCATTAAAGTTTTTTGCTTCTCTTTAAAAAAGGGGGGGGGGTCTGTGAGTGAGAGAGAGAAATGATGATCAAGCAGGTAGAGCAAAGTGTGAACAATTGAGTCTTGTTACTTTTCTGAAGTTTGAAATTACAACAAAATTAAAAGTTACAAAAATAGCAACATGCAGGACAGAGGATAGGGCCATCATTGTCCATCTAAAAGTGTTCTGAGCAAGAAAACAAAGGCGCAATGAACAAATGTTTTACTCTATAACATGATACCAGGACTGAGTGGTTTCATTTCCAGTACAACTCAGACAATTTTGTAAAACCTGATTTCTGCTCCTATTTCTTATGATCATCCTTAAAAAACAACACTTGAAAATAAAATTAAAGACACTTTTTTGTTAGATCTGATTTTACCATGACCTCATATGCTTGACCTAAAAGATGTTTTTTAGCAGCCCAAATACAAACATGTTTAGATACCACTGGGAAGACCCTGGGTGAAGACTGAAGCACGTGTGAAGTGGACTCCCCTCTTCCTTTTGTGGTGTCAAAGTAAATACCACATGGTAATGCGACTGCCTAAACAAGGGGTGTTTGTGACATTTGTGAGACCACATTTTTATCATTTCTATTTTAACATTTTTACAAGCACAGGAGCCATTCTCTGACCAGCCAGCTGCTGTCACTGTATGAGCCAATGCAGCTATGAGTCAGTAATATTCAATAGTTGATTAAGAATAAACTTTCTGGGTCTATTGGCAGTCTTTTAAAAGAGTACAGATAATCTTTAAAAATAAGAAAATCCAGGTGAAGCTAGTGGTAATTGTAGTGTCTTTTACCACAACCACCCAAGTAGAGGTCATACTATGTCTTTTTTTTTTTTTTTTTTCCTTTTGTCTGTTTTGTGGTACTGGAAATTGAACCCAGGGATGCTCTACCACTGAGCCATACCCACAGCTTCCTCCCTCCACCTTTTTTCTTTTTTTTCCCTCCAGACAGGATCTTGCTAAATTACTGAGGCTGGCCTCGAATTTGCAATCCTCCTATGTTGGCCTCCCAGGTAGCTGGGATTACAGGCGTGTGTCATGCTGCCCAGTTTAGAACTTCTTCTTAATATTATTTTTTGCATCATGAATGATGTTTGTTTATTGTTGCCGCAGTCTGACTGGGCACAAAATAACCGGGCCACCACACTGCCTTGTAAATTCAAACAGCAATTCTTTATTCCTGAACTCTCACCGGCACTCTACACGCACGTTCTGGGAAAATTTTTCCTCCACCGGGCTCTGCGTCCCAAATACTCTCAGAACCCCGGAGAACTCAATGGAAACTCAAAGAGCGGGCGCCTGAGGCAGCAGGATACGCCCTATTCCCAGCAGGGTCCACCCTAAACCCGGATCCGCCCTAATCCCTGAGCAAGATCACCTTTCAAATCAAAACTCTCAAACATTCATGCAATGTCACTGCAAATGACCTGGGTCCAAGGCAAGCCCATTTCCACAATGGAGAGTCCTCCCTCTAAGCAACATTGGGTAGGCTGACAAGGAAATTGTCATGTGTCATTCTTACTTGGCTATGGCTCTCAGCATATTGTTACTATTTATTTCATTTATTTCCATTTTTTTATAATAATGAGGCTGTTTCTAGATATTACTTCTGATGAGCCAGGGTGTCTTCTGTCTCCTGTGTTAGAACTTGTTTTTAATGTTTGTTTTTTGTTCAGCTCTCAAGACATGCTAACAAATGTAGTTTGGTCATTTTAAGTAATTATCCTCTGATATCAAAGAAAAATAAAAAGACTTCCTCCAGTGAATAAATTCTGAACCAATAGCTCATGAAGCTGTTGGATTTTTTTACATATATATTTTTTTAATTTTTAAATTTGTTTTAGACATTGATGGACCTTTATTCATTTATTTTTATGTGGTGCTGAGAATCAAACCCAGTGCCTCACACATGCTAGGCAAATGTTCTACCACTGAGCTACAACCCAGCCCCTTTTTTACATATTTTTATTGGTGTATTACAATTTTACATAATGGTGGGATTTGTTGTTATTTATTTGTGCATGCAAGCAATGTTACAATATAATTTGGCCCATACTATTCCCAGTATCCATCTCCCACCCCTTTACTCAGTTGATCTCCCTTTGATTTTCATGAGCTCTCCCACCTTTCTTTCTTTTATTCTTTTTCCCCCTCTCTGGCTTCCACACATGAGAGAAAGAATATGCTGTTGAATTTCTATCATTTTGACTGAGCTTTCCTTCACTTTCTATGGGTGAATAGATGTCTCCTTTCCAGTTGGATCATTTTGTGTGTCTGCTATGTAGTTGTCATGACTAGTTCACCAAGAAAGTAACTTGGCCTGATCAGCTCCTGTCCCTCCGAGGCAGTGTGGGGCCATAGTGGGTCATGATCTCAGGGATTACAGCAAACGGGTCCAAACACAACTGCTTGTTCACTTTCTGAACTTGGACAATTTACCCTGAGGCAGATCACTCTGAGACTGTTTCCTTATTTGTTAAGTGAGATACTACCTACTCTGGGTTGCTTGATAGGTTATTAACTACTATAACAGTAATAGTACCTGGCTATGCACAAAGGATTAAATAAATTAGATTAAATAAATCAGAGTGCTACCAAATAAAACCAAAAGTCATGTTTATGATAAAAATCATTTTGTCACTTATGTTCCTAAGGTTGTATTCTTCATATTGTTAGTGAATCCATGCTCAGGGTAGTTTGTTAAAAGGCTCGGATGAACATGAGTTATAGGTTTGAGATATGGCCAGCACGTCCAGGTGATTGAGAGGGGAGGAGGATGGTGGGTGGCACTTAGTGCTAACCTTGATTTACCTTGATTAGGATAGTAATTTACTCTACATTTTTTCACAAAAGGCTCATCAAGGAGTACAGCTGTAAAAGTAATTCATCTCTGTAGCAATCTGTATCTTTGTGCTAGCTTGGAAAAATCCATGGTTTGTCATAATTTGTGATGTTTGCTCTTATTTTATAATATAATGATATTTAATTTTTAGGTTCTATTTAATATTTATGTCCTTTGTAAGACTGCAGAATACATAATGTGGTGTCTCCTCCCCAGCCAGATTTGGCAAGGGACAAGTGCTCATATTTCATTGACAATTCAGGTCAAATTGCATCGAAGGCACTGGTTCTCCTGGTAGGGGTTTTTGAGTTACTAATGAAATTCTTAACCTCTAGTTCCCTTTCTTTGACAGGATGTGGGGTTGCTTTTTTTAAAGCAAAGAAAAAAGACTTAGATCCAAGACATTTCTGACTTTGATAAGCACATCCTTTTTTATTGAGGAGCTGGAGAGCACACCTATGCTTAGAAAGCCTTTCCTAAGTCAGGATGGGAATGAATGCACCTGTGCAAAGGGTTACCTCCCTCCCAGTGATAGTGTAGGAAATGAGGTCTTCTTTAATTTTTGTTCAGGGTGAATGAAAGTTAAATTTATCTGTTCGAGTAATACCTACTGGGTGGCATTGCTCCTACTGCTAATAAAGATTGTAGCCATGAGATTTCAGGGTTAGACTTCTGTTTGTGAACTATTAAAATTTTAATTTTTTAATGTTTTTTGATTTATAAAAAGAAAGCGACACTTTCTACAATCAGGTGTTTGTAGTAACGTTCTCTGATATTAACTGGGTTGCATCAAGCTGCTGAAAAATGACCTTGTCTTGGGCTGAAATTATTTAGTTTTCCATTGCCTTTTCCACATTGAAGCAAATGAGAATATTTAGTAAGGCAGAAAAACTTTTGGAAGTCTGATTCAGGTCTTTAGCTGGGTGACTTTGGGCAGGTCACTTCTTGACCCTTTTCTCTAAAATGATTGGGTTGCACTAATTATAATTTTCTTTTTTTACATCATTTTTGTGGGGAGGAGGCAGGTATAAAAAGAACTATCTGGTTCTAAAAGGTCTGACATTTCTTTTTTCTTAGGTCCTTGAGTGAAGCACGATTCTTAAGAATTAAAACACACTTAATAAAGACAATGCATGGTCCTGGGGCAGGGAATATGGTCCTGACACCTTTACTGCCCTTCATCTGGGGTGGCTTTACAAAGGATTTAACATCTTACTTTGCCCAATAGTGGGCTGATGGCATTTCACACATAGTAGGTGCTGCATAACTCTTTAATAAATGCTGGCTTATAATGCAATTAAACATTAATAGTCACCAATCTGGAATTTATTTTAGCCTAATGCTGTATCCAATTACTGTTTGTTGAAGGAACTCATTGATGAATGTCTGGCTGACTTTAGCCCTTAGTAAAAGCTTGAGGATTTAATGTGCTATATAAGGATTTAACTGTGCTATTTCTATTTAGTGTGTAAACTAAGTTTAGTGTCATGATTAGAAGTCTGAAAGCTAAGCAGTTTGGCCCAGGGGACCCACTCCCAGCAGGCAGCACTGTCTCAGTGGGAAAACTGCTTAGGAAACATGGGGGAACTGAGACAGGGGTGGGGTCTCTGCAGCCATTTTTCATGGGGCAGAATAGCAGACAAAACAGGTGGCCCCATTCCTCACACTTCTTCCTACAACTACTAGGACTTTACGGGAATTTCATTTGTAGGCAAGTTAGAAAATCAACAAAACAATTTTCTTGAGTCCTTTTCCCAATAAATTGGTGTGCAGAGAGGTGCCTTTTAAAAGTGACTGGAAATAAACTAGGTTTGGTGGCATTTTTGAGATATTGAGCTACTCAGGGGGCTATTTCCAAATTGTATAGTCCTGGGCATTGGAGGGTGGTGACACTAGAAATTTGATTACTTTCTCTGGGTCCAGCTGTGTGCAAACAAGCATTCAATAAAAGCTCTTGGAGATGGCTAGAGTAATGCGTTCAGGTTTTTAATTTTTTTTTTTTTTCTTGTGTTGTCCACAGGAGCCATTATTGGATGTCCTTTGACTAAGAGATCAGGTTTTTAACTTTATTATTATGCCTTTGGAGATGGAGTCCAAAATGAGCAAACTGGCTTTCGGTTGTCAGAGAAGTTCCACCTCAGATGACGATTCTGGCTGTGCACTGGAGGAGTATGCCTGGGTGCCCCCGGGCCTCAGACCAGAGCAGGTAGGAACCCAATAGTATGATTTTCTGCTTTGTTTTTCAGTGTGACTTAAGACTTTAGAGCATTGTTTTGTTGTGTTTTTGCAGTAACACTGACATATCACTTTCCCTCAATTCCCTCACACCTCTTTGGATGACTTTGAAGTTTTGCTTTTTAAGGTCTTATTTAGTTCCTCCAGGAAAGTTTTCCATCTCTTTACACCCATGGATCCAGTCACCCCACAGCGATGCAGTTTTTGCCTTCATGATAGATGAAATCTCACATCCTGTATCTATGTGCCTTTGTAATGTGGGTTTCTGATGAAATCCACTCACTCTTCAGAGAGTGAGAGGAATTTACATTTTTAAAAACTTCAGTGACAACAAAAAGATAATAAAAGGAAAGTTTCCAGGCCAGATGTCAGTAATGCCTTTGCTGTGGAAGAGAGATGCCAAGCTATAAGAATCCACTGGAAGTGGTACTGTCTAGAAATTCAACCTTTGATAACTTCACTTTTAAGAGTCTGTCACCAGACAGAGTAATTGGGAAAAAAAAATTAAGGAGTTAATTTTGTGCTTTGTATTATTTTAAGAAAGATAACCGTCTGTATGCCTATTTTTATTTTCCCAATATCCTTATAATGATGAACTTTTTGAAAAAAATCACTGGTGATAGATATTATTATGAGGGCAAAAACATCCTTTGAAATAAAAGATGACAAGTGTACGTTTGCTTCTGAGTTATAGTTCCATTTCCTTTATGGTGGGAACTCCTTTGAGAGCAGAGAATCCTTGTTCATCCAGGGCCCTGCACAGCAGCTGGTGCTCATGCAGCTGCTATTCAATAAGTGTCTGTAACTGTGAAAAACTTCTAGAGCTGATACAATGTGGAGAAGATAGAGTGTAGCACCACACTTAGGGAAGCAATACATTGACAAAATCTCCTTCTTACATCTCAGAATGGTTAGGTTTTGTGTGATATTGATTTCTAAGCAGAGAGGTCCCATGTGCCCTAATCTCTTTTCCTTGGATCATTTTCATTCCTTCTCAGCATTGCAGTACCCTTTGCAGTACTCATTAAGGGATGTTCCTTATTTAAAGACAATAGAAAAACAAATATTAAGTTCTCCTTTCAAAGTGAACTAAATATAGTTCAACATGGCTCCTCTCCAATTTCCTTGGAAAGATTGATTCCAGATATTTAGAAAATAGCATCCATGGAAGTTAAGGATACAGATGCTTGAAAGAACCTGATCAGAGTCTGCAATGTGTAACAAGATTCAGAGAGCAAGTTAAATGTTTGTATAGTGGCTGGATATTGGACAGTGTCACATAGCCCATGTAGTCATCTGCAGAATTTACCCCAGACTCTCAGCTGATCCCTTGGCTGACCCTTGGAAACTGACTGAGGAATAGTAACAGTAAATGTGGATTTTTTATGGTGTATAATTTATGATGCTCCTAATTGTCACTACAAATTGCATTCCTGAACAGCAATTTAGCAGCTGGATGCTAGTTATCTGAAGGTTTGCAGTTCTGCTGAGTTGGCTCAGCTGGTCTTCTCATTAGCTCCAAGAGGCCAAACCTTGTATTGAGGGAAAGGTAACTTAAAGACTGAGCCAGCTAAGACATACAGTTTCTGTGTACTGATGTCATTCTTTGTCACTTACGCAGATCCAGCTCTATTTTGCATGCTTGCCAGAGGAAAAGGTTCCTTATGTTAACAGCCCTGGAGAGAAACATCGGATTAAACAGCTTTTGTACCAGTTGCCACCACATGATAATGAGGTAAAATAACAGAAAGAAGGCTAATTAGAAAAAAAGAAAATATACAATAAACATGGAGATGCCTCTCAAAATCCCAGCTTCTCACTGGCTAGGCCTTATTTAAAGACAATAGGGGTCTTTGATCAGTTAAAATTTGGCCTGAGAATACAGCTTTCCATTCTCTAAGAAAAGAGGATCAGTGCAATAAACTTAACCAACACAGGTTGGTTTTTATAGTGTTTGCAGCCACCCACCAAATTCCTACAAATTCCTGAGATTTTCCCTACCCCTGCATCCAGGGTAAATGCTTTATGGTAGTTCAGGCCTGAGTCGAGTTGAGTGTATGTAGAATGTGGAGTGAAAGTGACAATTAACAAGTTTAAACTTTTGTGGAAAGATTAATGCCTTACTTTTTTTCAGTGTCTCTTGCTGATAAGGATTTAAATTTCTCATTTAGAAAAAAAGAAAAGTAAAACAAGACTATTTCTTCAGGTTGCCTTTCCCTTTTTCTAGAGAGGCTGCAAGATTTAGGCATGGTGTCATTTTAAAACTGGGGATTTGCAAGACAGGGCAGGTAAACCTGCCGTTTCATTTCCTGAAACTTTAACTCTGGATATAAAGAATGGACGAAGAAAACTGTGTAGTCCAGTGTGGGATTCTGTTTTGCTTTCTGTGAAGGTGCGGTACTGCCAATCTTTGAGTGAAGAGGAGAAAAAAGAATTGCAGGTGTTCAGTGCTCAGCGGAAGAAAGAAGCACTTGGAAGAGGAACGATTAAACTTTTGTCCAGAGCAGTGATGCACGCCATATGTGAGCAGGTAATTCTTTCTAGGGTGATGGCTGGTGGAGGTGATGTGGGTAGAGTTAGCTGGGATAGGTGACAGTTAGTACAAGGTGTGCACCCTAACAGCCTCCAAAATACAACAGAAAGATAGACAACCTAGCTTTGTATTCCACAGTAATTCATATTGGCTGCACTGCTATGTATGACAGTGGCAGTCAGTCCACCCATATGTAAACATTGAGTGAAACCGGGCCTTGCATAGCATCCTGGCATGGGGGGAGGTACTAGGACAAAACTAGTATTTGAAAAATGCAGAAACATAATGAAGACATTCAAATCTTAACTGGCAGTTCTCAGAGTAGGAAATATATCCAGCAGGAGGCTGGCTCAGGAAAACCGCTGTTAATGTGGATCCGATTAAACCGTACTTAGGAACAGTCGTGTGTAGTAGTGTATCTGAGGCATGTTCAGCACAGTTGAGAATCGTAAGTAATCCAGTATTGAAGAGCCATTTAATCTCTAACAGGAGAAGACCAAAATAAAAGCTTTCCTATGAATTTAGGGTTCATTATGAAGTTGTTTTAAATAAAAGAGTCATTTTACATTCACATTTTTTGTTTTCAGTGTGGGTTGAAGATAAACGGAGGGGAAGTTGCAGTGTTTGCCTCCCGTGCGGGCCCTGGAGTGTGCTGGCACCCATCCTGCTTTGTCTGCTTCACATGTAATGAGCTGCTGGTCGACCTCATCTATTTTTATCAGGATGGAAAAATTCACTGTGGCAGGCACCATGCGGAGCTACTCAAACCACGGTGCTCAGCATGTGATGAGGTAAAAAAGTTGGTCCCTGAATGCTGGAAAAAATAGCTGGTAGCAAACCAGTATTCCACTGCTTACACCTAAGCAAAATATGTATCCTGGTGTGTGTTCTGTGTGTATATTGAGAACCCTGGACACTCATACAATGGGATAACACACAGCTGATGAAGAGAGGGCAGCAGGTGTCTCTGGGCTTTCCTAAGTGTGGTGACCTTGATGATGGGGGGAAAAAAGCAAGTTGCAGATGATCTCATTTTTGTTAAATATAGGGGTGGGCAATATAATATACATATTTGTATATAGTCAGAAAAGTTACAGAAAGACATATACCAAATTAATAGTGGCTCTCTGAGGCATATTGGAATGGATGATGGTGTGAAAGAAAATTTCTTAAGCTTTTTAATTTAAAGTAACTTGAAATTTATAGAAAAGTTGAAAAGGTACTATAGAGAGTTCCTGTATACCCTTCTCCTCCTGATGCTAACATATTACACAGCCATGATATATATACACACACA